CTGAGGCCGAGGCCGAGGCTCAACGGCGATCCCAGGGGCTCGGCGCTCTGACCTGCGGTACTGTCGGCACAATTGGGCTGAGCTGGGTTGGGCCAGGCCTTCAGAACAGCCTCGGGCACGGCAGACAGTTGCTCCGGTCTGGCTCTGTCCTCGGTGGACAAAGCGACAACTGGAACCAATTCCGTCCGCCAACAGTTTGTCGAAACATCGCGCCACTTCTCCTACTCCGGCATCAGCATTAGCATAATCGGCGTGATAAAAATATATAAAAAAATTAGCCACCATCATCCTCATCATCATTTACCTTAAATCTTTATCAGAATCCTCACCATCATCATATTATTCATCACTATGGCCATAGTCGGTACAATCAGCATCATACAAACTATACTACTACTACTGCTACTACTACTTTTATTATTAATAATAACATTATCATAATCATCAGCATAAGCATATTTTCTTCTTCATCCTTAGCACCGCCATCATAATCGACATCATCAGTATCACATCAGCATCAGTATCGGCACAATCATCACCATCAGTATAATACAACTATAATAATATTAATAACAAGTATCATCCTCGTCATAATCATCAATAGCATATACACCCTCTACTTCTTATAATTCATAATCAGCATCAGCGTCAGGATTAGTTAAGGGAAATAAAATGACTTTTTGAGGCATGCTTATTTCGTTGTTGTCTGTTCCTACATAACTTGAGGTTAAGAAAGTATCTAGGAGTTACTGATAATTCCAAAAAAACATACTCATAATGGATATAGTTTATTATTTCCTGATTGTGCACTAACATCTAAATAAGCAATATAAGCTAATAATTTTGATGTGCTTAGTCTATTTTTAACATAAATCGCATCCCTTTTCCTATAGACGAGACAAAATGTTTTAATCATCCTTGTATAGAAGTGGATTGACCTCGTTTTGCAAACTTAGTGGTGTTGTCAAGGCGACAAATCTGAACGAGCCTTGTCTGAAGTCCTCTAAAAGAGTAGTCATGATAATTTCCAATCTCGGACCGTGCATTTGGTGAATTCCCAAGCCGGGATCTTAGGCCTTGCCAATTATCGTGTTTCAAAGTCATGCCGTCCACCCTGCCCAGTGCCAATTATGAACTCGTGCACTCGAATGGGGATGAATTCACCTGGAATAAATTGGATGCCGCTACAAGTGATACAGAGAGAAAGTGAGGTAAACTGGACTGCAAAAAATTAGAGAACTAGGGCAAGAAGGGATTTGTAATAAAGCCGCGCCCTATTCCGGGCATTCCTACAGATACTTGAGACAGCTTGCCTGCACTCGCATTGAGATGGACCAATGTGTGCATGCATGCATGTACACACTAGCACATGGCTGGATGGAGGTGTGAGGGGCAGGCGGTGGCTCCATACCGTCTCTGCATCAATGGAGAGCAGTGGAATGCATTAAACGAGAACGGATACATTCGAAACACGAAGACCTTCGATAAAAGTGTTGTAATAGTGTTGTAGAAGCAATAAGAACGCTTCGATAGGAGTGAGGTGTAGTATCAGACTAGGGTAAAATAAATCTCAAGTGTGCCTGAGACCCTAAATTCGGGATAAGTGGCTCAGTGAACATGTGCGGCTAACGCAAATGTCTCCCATTCCTTGAGGGGTCACGAAACACCAATGCCTGACTGGCGAAAAGACCACCAAGTAGGGGACTTCGGATTTTGGGATCCAAGAATTATATATATATATATATATATAGGAGAAACATTCATATAACTAATAATTTTGTTTATATAATTTATAAAAATATATGTATAATCATATAAACGAAATTCTAATAGTATATATACAAATTATTAGTTATATAAATATTGTTTATATTACATATATGTATACATATAAGTTAGATCAAAGTTATATTTATACATATTAGAAGAAGAATTTAGTTTATATATCCCATATATATATATATATATATGTGTAAATAAAAATTGTATTTACAAATTTCTTTGTAATATAAGATGTATTCAGCCTATTTCGTTTAAGGTGATGAAGGACTGGTAGTAGAATTTTCCCACAATGATATGAGTAG